CCCTGGCTTGGAGAAATGGCTGCGTTCTCCCGGAGAGAGAATTTGCCCTCTCCGCAAGAGCTTGTGTGGGGAGGGGGTCCCCCTTCTTCTCCCGCCCTTTTTCCACCTGTGAGAGAAGCCTCCGAATTTCTACACGCACTCTCTCCCCCGCTATGAAACGGGGCAGACGGAGATCGGGAGCCAGAACAGCTGATGAAGTCGAGCCCAAGAGGGAATCTGGAGGTCCGCCTAGTCGAGCAGCCTCTGTTGTTGGAGAGGTTTCGGTATATCTCAAGTGAAGAAAAGACAAGAAACTTTTTTGTGGAGAGGCTAATTAACAAAGCTCAGGCAGAGAAACCGGACTACTCTGTCTTTTTGAGTATCAGTCTTTGGTTTTTTCTTTTCCTCTTTAAAAATTTTGCTAAAACTGAAGAAAAAAATACAGCCCTGGGGTGAGCAGGCCCCTGTGTAGAGGGGGAGAGCCTAGACCGGCCAACCTGGCCGAGGGAATGGCTGGCCGGTCTTCGGTTCCGGGCAGCCGGGCACTGCGCCCCAGCAAGCCCGCCCGCGTGGGCAACATCACCAAATCATGAAGGAACTCTCCCTGCTTTAATTAAAAAGGGGAATCTTGGGAAAACTGGAGCAGATGAGCACAGCGAAGAGTTGGTTCCCAGCGACTTATTTTGATGCATGCAAGTGCACACATGTCAGTATTCCGGCTCAACTCCAGAAGCGACTGGAGCCTCCCTAGGAGTTCCGTGTCCTTGTCCACAGCCCGCCCAGGAAACCCTCAGTCCAAACACCACGTTGAGTTATCACCCGGCCCTGGCTTCATACAAACGGGAGGAAAATCATTTAACTCCTGGAGCTGTCAAGGAACCTCTTCAGGGTACAATTTTTATTTTACACGCGGCAATTAAAGAATCGCAAACCCCAGCCGAGCGACGGAGGCCGTTTGGCAAAACCTCCAACCTGGGGGTGAAGCACAAAGCCAATAAAACTCCCAGCGCTCTGCGGCCCGAGGTGGTGGCTGCCCCGGCGGAGGCGATCTTTTCTTGGGCAAAAATCCTGGCGTGACTTCGCTGATCTTGGTGTGGTGGCTATGTTTAATTGCGAAAAGGGTAATTTCTAATAAAATGGGAGGGGGCCGGAAGGACAGCGCCGTTATTAGCAGCAGAGGTGGGGGAGCGGCGCTGAGAGCCTGGCCCCTGCGCCGGGCTGCTCCCTCTAGGAGGGGACGGAGTGGGGGACTGGGGAGGACTGGGGGTGGGGGGACGGGCAGGGGCGCGAGGCGGGGCTCGGGAGATCTCCAGGGCTCACTGGCGGGGCGTGCGCTCCGGGAGCAAGTTGGCGGCTCCAAGAGGCCTTTATACCTGGTTCGGAGGCAGATAGTCGAGCTGGCGAGCAATTGGATTATTGTTGATATGCTAATGAGGCGATTAGGCTGTGGGTAAAGAGCTGGAAAAGGGAAAAGTTTCTACCATTAGAGGGAGATCTCCGAGCGCACACGGGAGCTCTTTCCCTTCTCGCCTCCTCCTCCTCACCCTCCTCCTCCTCGACCTCCTCCTCCCCCTTTCTGCCCTCCTCCTCCTCTTCTCCCTCCTCCTCCTCCTCCGCTCACCGTCACAGCCGGCACTTTGCGCTTACCCCGCGAGTAGCTGCACTTGGGTGCGAGGCAGAGAGGGGGCCAATCAGTTCACGCCGATCCATGAAAATGCTTTGGAAACTGACGGATAATATCAAGTACGAGGACTGCGAGGTAAGCGCGGCGCCGGCTCAGTTATCCTCGCGGCCTCGGGATCCCAGCTCTCCCCTCCGCACCTCCTCTCCTCGCAGCCCGCGGAGAAGTGCGGGTGGACAAACTTCGCCCCGCGCCGCGCCCGCCTCTCCGATTCGCCCAAGGATGCCGGGGAGAGGTCGGACAGCGAGCCAGCGGACGCTCCCCTTCTCGTGTCGCCCCTTCGAAGCCTGTGCCCCACTTTCCCCCCTTTTCTTAGCAACATTGCCTGTGCCCGAGACGAGGGAGAGGAGAGACCAGCATGGGTTTTGGAAGTAATTGCTGGCCATAGGGCGCGCGCCCGTGCACTCCGCGTGCCTCTCTCTAGCGAGGTTCTGGGAGCCCAAGTCACCAGGAAGAGACAGGAAAGAGAAAACCCTTTACCTTCTTTAACTTCCTCTCTGGTCCTTAATGTTTGTTTGCTTGTTTATTTACTGGCTTATTTATTCCTCCCCCAACCTTTTTTTTTTTTAAAAAAGGGCTCATTTCTCTGTGGAGAGGGGGCCGCGCACTTCGCTGTAAGCTGGGCTGCATCCCCTTTCAGCGGGTTCAGGGTGAGATCACTCCTCTCCCCACCGCCGCGGGCCCGCTCCAGGTGCTCTCGCTGCTCAGGAAGTTCCGCGCCGCTTCTCTCTCTGAGCACTTGGTTGGCGCCTCCACCGGGTGGGGGTGGGGGGCGGCGCGGCTCGGAGTTTCCCGGCTCCCGGGTCCCCACGCCTCTGCCCCGGCGGCCGCCCGGCAGCCGGCGGCGTCACCGTGGGAATCCTGGCGGGGCTACACTCGGGTGCGAGGAGCCAGCGGGGCCGATGGAGCCGTTAAAAAACCCAGGGTCCCGGGAGCTCGGGTTCTTGGAGCCGGGGAAGCCCCGGCACTACCGGTCCGCCCGCGGGAGGCGCTGAGACCCGGCCAGGCGGCCGCCGCTCCTGCCGCCCGTACCGCCCCGGCCGAGAGGAGTCGATGAGTCACGAGAGGGGGAGGGGGCCGCGGCCGGAGATTACCTAAATAAAGAGGTGGCGGTCCCGGCTTTGGCTCTTTCCCCCCTTTCCTTTCTTTCTCGTTGGCATCTGGAGCTGGGAGCGCCAGGCAGGGAGGTCTGCGCGGGCGCAGCGGCAGGGGGCCTGTCTGCCCCGAAATCCGAACCTGGTTTCTGTGAACGTGGTGCCGCCCGTCTCCCTTCCCCTCCTATTCGCAGACGATTTTAAATCTCGCTCCTTTCCCGGGCCCTTTCTCTCCGCTCTCCCCACCCCCATGCGGCACGGGGTGACATCCCTCGGAGACCGGCGCTTCTCCGGGGCTCCTGTTGTGCGCGGCGCGGGAGGCAGACACCCCACGTCAGACCAGCCGCTTTGTTTTCAGAGCGGGGGTGCCCTCGGCGAGCGAATCGGGGTGAAACTCAGTCCTTAAGGCTTAGGGGGATTGTCCCGGCCGGGCTGTGGCCGGAGGCTCGGGCGCTCACTTTCTCCGAGGCCGAAGCCCAGCTCCCGGCGCTGCACGCTGGGTCGGCGGCGTCCGGGCCTCCGCGCGGCGCTGGGCGCCTGTGGGACCTGGGAGGGAGGCGAGGAACTTGCACCCCAGAGAGAGACCCTGTGGGGGCGCGTGTGCGTGTGTGTGAGTGAGGCGAAAAAGAGGGAAAAAATGATGAGAAACGAGACGGGGAAGAAAACAGAGTGAAGGCTGTTTCAACAACTTTGACCGCGGCGGGCGAGTGCCGGAGCAGGGATTTCGGGTTTCCGAGCCGGCTCGGGGCTGCCTAATTATGTCGGGGCTCTGCAGGGACACGCAGGAGGCGGAGGTGCCGCTTGTTCTGACAACCCGGCGGGCAGGCTGGCAGCGGCGGCCGCCTAGCCGCTCAGGGAGAGAACGAGCCGTGTCATCCGGGGGGGGCGTCGGGCGGGGGGGGGGCGTCGGCGGGAGTGGCCCAGCAGTTGGACGGGTTTTTAGCCGGGGAGTCCCCCGCCCCGGGGGCCCCGGGGGGGGGGGAGGCCTGGGGGTTTTTTTGCCCCCCCCGGGGGGGGGGGTCCCGGGGTTCTCCCCTCCCCGGAAGAAATTTTCCTTTGGAAAAACCCAAGGGGGGGGGGGGGGAAAAAAAACCAAAACCCCCCGGGGTTTTT